CAAAGACTAAACCTCCACTAAGAATTTAAGCCACAGAAATAAAAATGAAAAGTGCAGCCTCTTGAAATTTTCTGTTTACTGCTTAAGAACAAGGATGCTCAGGATCCACGTCAAAGTAAAAATGTCACCCTCACAGCTGCCGCGTCTTCTGTTTTATGATTTAGGGTCACCGGCGCATGGTCTGCTGCTCCGCTTGGTGTGAAGACAACACCACCTGCAACCTGTTCACCTGTGGCTTTGATCGGCAAGCCATCGGCTGGAACATAAACATCCCCGCTCTGCTGCAGGAGAAATGACCTCCTCCTACTGTCACCTTACAGGGAAATGCCACCAAAAGTCTGTTTGGAATATCAAACACTGAAACCTTTGAGTGGGGTTAAAAGGCGGCTGGAGAAAACTTGTCTCGTACCTTTGTGTCGATGAAAAGTTGTCTCATGTTGTAATGTACAGGATGAAATTCCTGTCGTTTCCAGCAGCCGTCTTTTGAGCCCACGGGGGGTCGGTATTTGTACTCGATGTCCTTTGAGCTCTGTTCTCCTCCTTTGTTTGGGGTAAAGCAGAAAAAGGCCTTGCACTTGCTGTCTACTCCATCTGTCACGCTCACTAAATCACCGCTGCCAAAATATACAAAACACATTTGTGGTCTTTGCGTGGAAGTGATTTAACATCTGGAAAAGAGAAAAAAAAATCCTGTGCATCTCTAATGAAAAAAGCACACGAGCTTCTTCTTTGCCGCGAACAAAAACGCATTCTGTTAATGCTAAATCAGATCTGTGACGTGCTGACGTTTCTGCTTGATGCTGATTTAAAATGCAATACTCTAAATCTAATCTGTGCCACTAACAGCAGATTCATGCTGGACAAAGACAGCGGTCTGCTGCTTTAAAGGATCCACTCATTATATATCATTAGTTTTCCCTGTTTAATACACTGCAAGAGTTACATCAATGAAAACTTATTTGTGAAACTTGTTTACTTTCTGCGTCACGTACATTTCCTAGGTTATGATGCAACGTGGCAGTGGAAGCCCTCACTGCTGGAACGCTTGAGTCTCGTGTCCTGCACTGGGATCTAACAAAGCGTTCGTTTTCAGCATTTACTATTATATTTGACTTTTTTTTTTTTCTTCGTTTTTCTTGGAAACTGAAATAAGTTTCCAAACATTTTGTTTGGCTCCTGGCTCTGTCTGTAACTCGCATAATAAATGAAAACCAATAGTTATGAGAGTGTAACTGAGGACCAGTAAGCTACAATACAGGCTGTAAAATGACTCCTGCAAGTTCTCGATGTGAGCCTGCCGACGTTCATCCAGTGGCCGCTTGTTGGTGAGCTATCATGAAACTTTAGCAAGTAGCTAACAATTTTACAAGAGTAACTGGTACTGCAGCAAAACATTACACTACTCCACATAACCAACTGTCTGTTTGAACTATAGACTGTATATAAAAGATGCATGTAGCCACTGTGATGTCACTCATTGGTTTTAGATGAGTGTATTAGCGACGGTTGCTCGGAGCCACCGTGTTGGTATCCAAAAGGCACCAACATGGTATCGATGTCCATACAGTGACCTGTGTTGCAATACCTGTCAGATAAAGTCGCCACACCTCCAATTTTGAAGCTAACAGTAAGCAAATGGATGGATATAGGAAAAAAAAAAAAACCTGTGTAGAGTTGTTATGGGGGAGGAAACTATCTACTAGGCTATAAGCGTTTTTCGCTATAAACAGGCTCTTTAATGCGGTAAAGTTGGGCATTTTAACACGGCGCTCTTTGTGAATTCACTCACTTCTGGAGCCAGCCTCAAGTGGACAGTAGTGGAACTGCAGTTTTGAGCACATCTTCAGTTTTTAGCTCTAAAAGTTGCTACTTATTGTTTATGGATATTAATGTTAGCTACTTGCTACTAGCTAACGTTGCATGCTAAATAATGTAGACTCTTCAGTTAAACCATGTTGGGTTTATTATTAATCCTCAGTACATAACCCCTGACTGCTCGTTGCTGTCATCTACTGCAAAACCTAGCATTGAGTCTAGCAGTGAGTCATGTGCAGGTGTGTTACCAGACTACGCTGATCTATGACGCAGTAAAGCATCCACTGGCCTTGTTCGTGTTTCAGAGCCACTTTTGATGTGTTGGTCCTATCGATGTTTAGGACATTTGTACTACTGTTGTTTTGTTTGTTTGTTTCACATCACTGTTTGGTTTTTGCCAAGGCTAACATGGGTCAGCATGCAATGACTCTTTGGCATCCTGCATTATTCATCTTTTTTCTCCGTTTCCTTGTTCTCCACCTGGCTTCCAGTAGTTTGCTGGTTCTTCTTCTAGTCTTTTTCATAGTTTAACCCATTCAAGAATTCTCTAAATTTAAGTAGCTGTAGTAGCTGGTATTTGACCCTGAAACAAGTCCCACATTGACAAACTGGCAAACCGTCACCCTAAAACTTCCCGATTGGTCCTGTGGTGGAAAGTTTTTTTTGGTGTGATGATGTCACAGCTATGTCAAAGCAAGCATAAACAAGTGATGCACTTTTTAAAAAAAGTATCTGTTACAGTTTTTCTTTTTGCTGCTGCTGTTGGAAATAAATGTTTTTCTGGTAACTTTTGGCTGTTGGTCAGCTGACATGGTGGCACATAACCTGAAGGACTTTAATGGTCAGGATGGTGGTTTTGAAAAAGGGTAATATCTCGTGCTGGCAGCACAGGGGTTTGTCTCACTCCAGTTTGTGCAGCTCTGTTTGTGCTGCAATGTTCAGGACGAACCTTTCCTCGCTAGAATTTTAATTAGAGACTCACTTTTGTTTGGAGCCAGTTGGTGTTAAACAGCAAAATCAGGATTTGCTCAGATAGAAATGAAGATTTCATGTTTGTTTGTTTTTGTTTTTTTCCCTGTGTGTTTATCCCAGATCCAGGAATCCAACAGGCATGCACTTTTTTTTCTGCAGTGCAGACATCTGATAAAGGAAAAAAACATCCACTTTAAATGAGCATCAAAGAAGTGTCGTCAAACGTAGAGATCGATCTGTTGAAATGTTCCCTTGTCTGCTCAGTCCAGCTGTTGTACCAATGCCTGACATGATTGTAAAACCTTTTTGTAGTTTATCGCAGTGCCCTTTAGTGAATAGTGTTGAAACGATATCGTGGGGATTCTCTTGTGTGTCACATTTTTTTAATGGTACTTCAAAACAAGTGAGCACTGTTGCGACGTGTTTACTGTTACTGGCTTCGCTTTCCCACTGCCACTAAAAGACTCAGCCAAAGCTGCATTTGAGGGAATGGGAGACTCTGTAGTGTGTGTGTGTGTGTGTGTGTGTTCCACTCGTGAGTTACAGCAGTGACACAGTAAACAAGCACAATTCATGTAAAACTTATGTTTATAATTGTGGAGCGTTCACTGGTTTGTCGAAAGCACACTGATATGATTAACATTTTATCTCTTCAGTGGGAACAAAATACCTTTTTATTTGTTTGTTTGTGGGTAAACATGGTCGAGCTTTACTGCTGCCTTTTGCAACCCTGAATATTTACTTTCCAGCAGAACTGTTTGATGATAGAAGGTGTGAAAGGATCATTAGTCTGAATAAAGTGAAACAAGCACAGAGGTCTGAACTTCAGTGTTAGTTAAAGTTTAGGGAAGCCTGCCACAGAGGCTGGAACAGTTTTAAATATCAGGCTGCAAACATGTTTGTTTCTGCTTGGTTGGACATCGTGAGACCATTTTTCAATCTTCTTTTGTGTGTGTGTGTGTGTGTGTGTGTGTGTGTGTGTGTGTGTGTGTGTGTGTGTGTGTGTGTGTGTGTAAAATGTTGAACTCCTCTTACTTTAACATTTGTGTCACAGACTGTGATATATTAAGAAAGGTTGGCTGTACGTGGCTGCAACGTGTTTCTTTTTTTATAACATGACACGTTGTTACCACTTGTCTGGTGTAACTCAGTTTTGTTGCTTGATAGTGATTTTTTTCATTCACATTCACAGAATTCATTTTGTCACTTATGCCAGGGAAGACGCAGGCAGAGGTTTTGTTTTGTACATTTTTTTTGTGGTTTCTTTAGAATTGTTTGCACAGACAGGATTTCCTTCCAGTATCAGCATTACTCATATTTATTTTGTATTAAGCTGCATATGTTGTTATTGTCAGAGCTTTTGCTAACTTACGAGAACACAAAGAACTTCAGAGATCAGTGAAATCTAAATAAATGTGGTAGGAGTAGGAGGTTGATAGGAAATCTCAAAATTGTATCAGGAAAAAATGAAAACTGATTCGGAAAATGACGAGCAGCGCTCTCAGGCTGTTGTGCAGGGCTGTGCTCTGATGTTGAAGATAAAGTGACGCCACACAAGAGACTGAAAATGGACTGATTACATGAAGTAGATGAATAATCTGTAGTAAATACCGACGCGTTGTATTCTTATCTCGCATGTATATGCAGAGGTGGTCATTATCTTTAAAGTTGGGGCTCTAATCTGTTCCTCCGGCGGTCATCCCTGGTTTAATGACAGAACATTTGTGTGTGTGTGTGTGTTTCCTTGTTGACTTTTTCACTGCACTCGACTGCTCTTTCCACCAACACTGAGCCACTTTGTTACCACCTTCACGACTCGCCAGTTTTAACCGAACGTTAAGTTTCATCTTTCACGCCATCAGAAAAACCCGATCACTGAGCATCGCCCGTCATTAAGCTGCCATCCTGAACCCTCGTCAGACTGTGGTCTCCCGGTGTTTAAACTGTGTTTTGTGTGGTCGATGTAAAACAAAAACACAACAGCTCACAGTTCTCCAAAAAAAAAAGGAAAATGTTACTGAGTTTTGTGGATTATAGCTGTGCAACGAGGAACAAGCAGTCGCTTGTGAAACAAAAATAAAACATTTGTGCTGTTTGAACATTTGCTGTCTGATTTGTGTGTGCGTATATTGTGTTAATGTCTTGGGACATTTTTAGGACGGAGGCTTTTATTTTAAATTTGTTGTGCATTTGTAGATAAAAACAACACAAACTAACACAAATAATTTTATTTCCAGTGATAAAAATAGTTGACTAATATAGAAGACAATCTGCATGTCTAATAATGGAAACTTCATAGTATCCAACACCGATGGCTTTCATAAGAAGTTCTCTTTTAGGTCACATTCAACAAAATGTAGTTTTTCCTATAAATTAACATAGAAACACATTAATTACAGATATTCCAGAGACTTATTTTAAAGTAAATTAAAGTTAGATTAAAAGGAGAAAACGGGACTTTCTTGCTCATCAAACCTCGACTCTACAGTTTGTAAAGCACACCACCTACCTCTAGGGGGCAGTGTGCCATCACACTCCTGAGCCTACAGCACTCTCTCCAGCCTACATTAAGATAATAAGACGTCAAACACAACATTTCTAAACAGAATAAACAAGAACACAAAATTTGTGAGGAGGGAAATCTTTCAAACTCAATGTTGGGACTCTCTTCTGATTCACGGCTAAAATTTCAGTGTCGCTGGCTCAGCTGGTTGGTTATGGTTGGGATAAAGTTTGTTACAGTACATTTATTGTTTTAATTTCTCACAAGGACTGACACGAGCTGTAGACCTTTATTAGGACACTTCTGGAAGGTGAGGATATGCTGGCCTATCTTTACTTGTACAAAAGATTTGAGAGGTGCTATTAGTACAATTGCTATTCACATTAGGGACCTCATGAAGCCCTCTTGACCCTCTGCATTAATTATAACGCATCAGGACCAAAACAGGAGGAGATTGTTCATTCAGACTGTTAGTCTGTTATCTAACAGTGTTGTTACGTTGTATTAATCTGCAATTATTTAACTTTGTCTGTCCCAGCTCTGTTCAGGCCACTTTTACTTTTGTAGTTTATTATAAATAAAATAAAACTTCTTCGTGATGCGGTGCCAAAAGGAAAACCTGCAGCCTCCATAATCACCATTTAACGCTCAGTTTTTGACACACTGACAGTGAAGTGACCCAGTTTTGGCGGTTTCCTCAGCCACGTCCCCAGACCACCTCCCTGCAGAGCGCTGCTGAACTGCTGCACCGCCCTCTGGTAGCACTGAGCAGACATCTTGGAAGCACAATACGTCCCTGTTGTGGATTCTGCCCCGATTACAGGGTTGATTAGCTGAGAAAGAAAGGCAAAAATAAACAGTTAATTTATTGCAATATAACTCTCTGGTTTTATTTATTTTTACAGTTTGACAGTCCAGTCAGTGTGCTGCACTTCTTAAATTATATTTTCAGGTAAAAATATTTCTCTGCCTCTTCAAAATGACACCTGTCTAGTGGAAATGGACAGGTGTCACTTTGAGATGACGCAGGAAACTCTAAGGTGGCACTAATGACATTAACGATGGCTCCAGGAGAGGTGGAGATTCAGCAGCTGGGACCTGGGAGTGACATGCCTGGATGGGCATTAATGTTGTTCGTCATACCCAGCAGAGTGTGACAAGTCAGGACGTCAGAAAAGTGTTCAAACTGTAAATGTAAATGAGTAAAAGACGGTTTTCAAATCCGTCTGCTGAAGGAGGAAAGTTCCTACAGTCTGACAGCCAATTATGGTCCAGTGTGAAACTTGGGTCCTGCTCACACCTGGTATAAACGGGTAAGTATGGAGTCTGGAGAGCCATGAAGGGATGTCTCATTCGCGTTTGTTTGCCTGGAGCGCCGAGGAATGGACCCAGTTTGTAACTTCCAGCTTCCATTCTGGAAGTGCACTGCTGCCTCCCACCAGTGAAGATCTACAACCCATCTAGTCTTTGCTAGCAGAACTGATTCCATCTCCAGTCTTCAACTCCTGAAAGCAAACAGACGCTGAGGAGAGTTAAAAACCCTCCACATTCATTCAACACCTTCAACAAGTCTTAGCTCCCTTTAGGGATCACCACAGCAGATCATCTGAGTCTAGCACACACCATCCCTCTGTATGTCCTACATCCATGAAGCTCCTCTCTGGTCTTCCTCCCTTCCTCCTGCCTGGCAGCTCCATCTTTAACATCCTCTGTCAAATATACCCAAATATACCCCATCCTCCTCGGCACTTTGTCTCCACACAGCTTCGCCTGAACTGTACTCTCGATGTACTCGCTCCTGATGCTGTCACTCCCAATGAAAATCTGAGCACCTCCACCTCAGCCCCCTGTCTTTTTGTCAGCGCCACCATCTCCACGTTGTAAACCTTCCCTTCCACTCCTCCTGCTATCTTTCTGTCACAAATCACGCCTGACACTCCACCCCTTAGTGCCAGGGGTAAATGCTTGATCCCAAGTACTAAAGTAGTAAGTAGTTTCTTAAAAACTACATCTTTCCTATGACTTCAGACATAAACGAAGCCAGAAAACTAAATACCAGTGATGCTCGGAGGATTAGTGAAGTTGGGCTGATCTGCTACAAGAGATTTCATTAGGCTTAAATAAGCACAATAAGTCTGTATTCCTTCAGTGGGACAAATAGCTTCAGAACAGTAAAAGATTTGATATTGTGTGATACCGTCACAGTGCTATGAGCGATCTTTCCTGGTTTTCAACATTGCTGGAGGCTGAAACAACCTCAGCATCTGGCCGTGTGCTTCGGAGCCACCCTGCAGTTTTTGTAAATTGCACTGCAGCCATTTTTGATGCAGGGCGGCGATTGTTGCACTTGGAGACACTTTTAATGTTCTAATACATCTATGAGCTAATTAATTTAGAGCCTTCGCTCGAGATCTGTGTTGATGCAGCTGGAGTGCGAGTGATCGAGTTTCCCTTCAAACCAATGATAATAAAGCATTATAGAGAGTTATGTGTTTGTTTGTTGTCTGGTCTCCCAGCACGTCCACACCATCACACATCCATAACAAACTCTGAGGTTATTTCTCCTCATTTTAATTCTTTAAACTGAGTCGTAAAGTGTGGGTTTTCTCTCTCTTGGGCCGTGGCTTTGTCTTTTCTTGCAGCGATTTCAGACGCTTCTTTAAATAACCACGACTCTGGCTGCCGTCATCAAACTTTAAACTGAAGCCATTTGGTTCAACACAGCGCATTCTGCATACATATTTTAATTTCACAGAGGAAATTAGACCTCTCTTTCAACGACATCATTATAATGTAGATGGCTTTGGTCTGAGGCAGAGCTCAGATGATTTCAGCTTAAGAAATTCATGCTTCTGTGACTTGTGCTTTAATTTACCAGCACGCTTTTAGTATTTATAATCATTTCATGTCATGTGATGATGTGAATAAGTCAGTGCTGCTTCAATAATCATTTACAGACAGTTTTTAAAGAAGGGCATCTGCAGCACATTGTAGCTCCCCCTATTTCACTTATATAAAAAAGCATTTTAACCTGCGTTCTTTTAAATGGTCAGCAGGGGGCTGTATAGAAGAAATACCTCAGAGTTTATGGTCCCAGTCTTTAGTTTTAAGTTTAACAGAATAAAACAGCACCCCTAAAGCATACTGAGCTTTATCATCCATCTGAATACTAATAATGAGCACAATTTACAAAATGAGCATCTTATTACATTAAATAAGACCTGGAGCTACCATTTAATACCACGATCCCATCATGAACATGTTTACTGAATACACAAGTCAAGTGTGAAGTGGGTAATTTTCCCACAGACCTCTATAGAATAAGAACCAGAGGTGCCACCCCCTGCTGGTCATTAGAAAAAATGCAGGTTTATAGATCCATGTGATCAAACCCTAATTCTTCATGAGCGCTGAGCTCGTCTGACCGACTGGGGTGTCTCCTTGTTTGAAGCTGTGTAACATTTCACTGGTTCAGCTCTGCGATTGTCTCACCTGCTGCTGCAGCCTCAGCCAGCGGGCAAACAGCGAGCGCCTGCAGAGCCGCGATGGCGTCCCTGAGTCCTTCCTCCTCCCTGTGGAGGTGCTGATTTCCTCCCAGCCTCCATCACCGCAGCTCCAGTTCACGCTGACGTTGGGAGGCTTCCCTGCTGGCCGGGCGTCCCTGCTGCTCAAACCTGCGTGGCAAACATGGAAACAAATACCTGTAGAAGTTTCCTCCTGAAAACACTGATTTTTTGTAAATTTGATGCACCCACTGTCCAACCTGGACCTAATAATCTCGCTTCCAATATGATTATGCATATCATACAAACAAAGCTTCTGCTCAAATGGATTTTCTTTTGTTGCTGGAATCGCAAATATCTTGATTTGCATATTTAATTTTAATCTGCTCCCTCTGATTGAGGTGCACAGAGTTTATTTCAGGATCATTTCAGGCTGTGTTCCTCTTGATTGTTGAGTAGACAGGCTGGTTCTTACATTTCTGACAACAGGCTTCAGACATCTCTAAAACATCAGGCCAAGACTTGTTTGTTACATAAGTACAATATAAAATGTTACATTTAATGGCATCTGGTCAAATGAAATTTACTCCATACGTTCAAATTTTGGATAAGTGGAAGTAAATGGATGGATGCTACACAAGAACAATTTCCCTAAAGATTTCAAATTCATATTTCAAATATTATGATGTCAGCAGAAGTGAAATCCCTAATATGATCATCTCAGACATGAACCTGTGGTTCCCATTAAACATCCGACTGGACTGAAGCCCAGACAAATAAGGATTATTTTGACCTGTGAATCATGCCAAGCTACCCTAGAGTCAAAAAATGAAAATACTGAAGAGTGAATGAGCGTCACAAGACCCTGCTAACCTGTATTTTTCTTAATATGACAACCTTTGATTGGTGATGGCATTTCAGATTTTAGTGCCTCTTATTGCTCACGGTAACTACTCGGCTTTTGCTTTTGTACTTTTCGTAGCATATTTAGTGCTATTAAGAACCCACTTCTGCACAGCTTCAGGACCTCCCCTAAGTCTCACAAGACCTGAGCTGTGGTTTCTGGCTCATTCATCATCATCATCATCATTTAAACTTACAGCCGAGCAGCAGCTGCTGTCGTCTGTAGGGGAAGGGGAGGTGTTTGATGGGCGCGAGGCGGCGTGCCATAGCTCTACCCAGGTGACCCGTGTGGCTGAGCGTGCCCACTGTTAGGCTCTGGAGGTAAACCGGCTCCACCAGGTGAGACAGGAGAGCCCCTTGGAGGCCCACGACGCTCCACCTGCAGAGGTAACCACACCACTGTGTTGGTGACACAAGTGAAAGCACAGCAGTAAAGAAACATAATGAATAAACTACACTGAGCCTTTAATATAACTCACTTTGCCAGTTTGTCTGTACATGACATGGTAACGAGAGGTTTACTCGGCGATAAGCCATCCCATTTCTGATTGGCTCTCCGTGCCGTGATGGGCAGCGTCCCCTCACCTCCCTTTACCTTCACCCTGAGGTGGCAGCGAAATCTCCTGCTGGGATCTGACACAAGAAGAAAGTATTTTACAGAAGCATCATCTCTGCTAAAGAAAAACATTTACAATCGTTAGTTTCACATCACGCAGTTTTTACTTCCTGTGTCATGAGCTTGTCCCACATGCAGGACACAAAGGCAGGGAGGATTAAAGGAGGGCGAGCTGTTTATTGTGGGCTGGAGGCTGGTTGCACAAAGGTGGAACATTAAGAACAAAATAGGAAAACAAAAACCTGGAAAACACACTAGTGCTAAACCATGGGGGCAGGGAAAGACCAGGGCAGGGAGAACTGAGAAAGGACAAGGGGAGACAGGGACAGTAGAGTGGAGAGAGCTGGGAAAACAACACACAGCTGAACTGAATCAGAGAAGATGAGACACAGGAAGCAAAACTAAACCGGGAAAGCACCGACACAAGAATTTAACGTAAGAGACTTGGCACAAAAGAAAAGCAACTAGCAATCAGGATCAGAACTAAGTATGCTAAATAGGACAAAATACTCAGCAATATAAGTGCGAAGTAAATCAAGCATCTCAAAGGAAATTAGAAAAACAAAACTTGGAAATGCTGGGTAAGCTGATTAGGACCATAACATCCTGTTTCCCTGTTTGATTGTGCGCCCTGCTCGCACTGCTTCCACCTTTCTCGTTTGATCTTTGCTGTTTGTTCCCACCTGTTAACACGATCTGTTTGTGTACCTGGGCTCGTTCAGCTGTCATTTCAGCCTGCAGTTCTGGTTCATATGGCATTTATTCCTAATTATCCACTCCCTGTATTTTCCCTGTGCTGTTGTTTTTCAGCCTTGATCTTTTATGCTTGAGACTTTTGAAGTGTTTTTAGTTTTCTTCTAGTTTTTGTTCATCATTCCTGTCTCCTGAAGCCCGGATCTGGATGCTTTAGATCTGATAACGCAACAGAATCAGCATCCAGATGATTTTCACATGTTTTTCCACTTTTTAAATTGATTTAATGGACCTTTAATGGGCTCCTGTAGGATCAAAACGATAATAAAAATCTTAAGTAAGTACAATTTTATTTGTATAGCACCTTTCAAGACAGAAATCACAAAGTGCTTCACAGAAAAACTAAAACAGAAAAACAGAAATCAACCAAAAGCAAGTTTAAAAAGATGGTTTTTAGCTGTTTTTTAAATGAAACCAATGAGTCCACAGATCTCAGGCTTAAAGGAAGGGAGTTCCAGAGTCTGGGGGCCACAGCTACAAACGCTCTATCGCCTTTTGAGTTCAGCCTTGTATGTTGGACGACCAGGAAGCCCTGATCACACGACCTCAGGGACCTGCTGGGGATGTACTGATGTAAAAGATCTCTGACATAGGTTGGTGCTTGTCTATGCAGAGCCCTGAATCTCAAAGTCAAAATCTTGAAGTGGAATCTGAATTTTATGGGGAGCCAGTGCAACTGGATCAGCAGAGGTGTAACGTGGGAGTATTTAGAAGATGTGGTCAGAAGCTTTGCAAATGATGCGCAGAGGCTTTACTTAAACAATCTAAATGTGTTCCTCTCACATGCAGCTGTGGTCTCGTAGGGGCAGTTGAGTCGAGCGTCTCCACACGGCGACGAGCTGACGTACATGTGGAAGTGGACGCCCTCCCGCAGCCGGAAGCCATCACCGCAGTTTTTATTTGGTATAAAGATCGACTGATTCTCGCTGTCCACTGGCTTGCTTCAGAGAGGAAACGATCAGACAGGAAAAATAACAAAACAAAAACACTATTTTACAACAAGGAGCAAAAAGGACGAAAACAATTTCATCTTTTTTTTGTGAAATAACACAGCAGCACACATAAATAATGAAAAAACTTAAAAATGTACATTTCTAATGGAAAAATACAGCTAGAAACTTACACAAAGTAATATTTTTTAACATTTCTAATGCAAATGAACACGAATGTAACACAAAAAGAGGCTAAACTAGGTTTAATAGCAAATATCACCCAAAACTGAACAAAATACATTTTTAAAAATGACCAGTAATCAGAGGGCCTGTGTATTTTGACCTCAAGCCCACATCGAAGACACAGATGTGGGCAGAGACAGACACACAGTAGTTTAATTCACCAGGTAATATGGATTAACCCTCGTCCTATAAACTAAAGCCTTAGTTCAGCACTAGGTTTAATCCAGGTCTTAGAAAACTGTGCAAAAAGACAAAATCCACATAAAACTGGACACAATGTTAAGCCTCATCTATCAAAAACATGAACATTTTATTGGAAAATGAATAAAAATACTTAATAAGAAAATCTATCCAAAGTTTTCAGAATAGGTGTCATTTCCACTTCAGATCTGTGAACGATGAGATTTATTTATAATGCCATATTTAACTCAGCCAACCCTCCAACGCTGATATTTGACCAACCACTTTAAGGCCACAAAGAAAATCAGAGACTGCTAATCATACCAGAGGAGCAGCTCCAGCTGACTGTACAGGAATCGAACCAGCGCCCGTCGACTCACGACTTCAGCGTGGCAGTCGGTGAGCGTACAGCCACAGTCGCTCACACCACCCAAGTCCAAGCACTTCGTCCCTGTGGCCAGAGACACAACCTGTGCTGATCGAAGATCGAGTCCTGGAGGGAGAGAAATGAAGCATGTGGGAATTGACAGGCAGGATGATTGTGATTGGCTCTAATGGAAGGAGACTTCTGGCATGCTGCCGCTGAAACGGGCCATCTTATTTCACTCAGGGAACAGGAAAATGAGGCATTTCCTCTTTTCCTCCCCTCCGCCTGTGTCGGGTCATAACCGGAGCGTTAACAGGCTGAGACGGGCTAATGAAAAGTGTATGACTGAACAATCACTCCGTCGTCTCCAAGAGGGGCTGTTGTGCTTCTATCCGACCTCATCAAACATTCACAGGGCTGTCTCGCCTCTGATCCGGGGCGACTCTTTGATTGCTATGATGAGCCCAGACAAGTGGCAAAACATCCTGTTAGAAGATCGGACGCTGCTGCGTCTGCGTCAAATTTCAGACGACAAAAAGCCGAGTGAAACGATAACATGAAGCGAGCCAGAGAACAGAACCAGGACTGACTGATAACTGTGTCACTATGATGCAGGATTTCTGTGAAATAAAGAGCAATATTTTAAACTCACTGGGTGTTCGCCATGTCAGATCACAGCTCCTAAGGTCATAGATGTGAAGCTCCTATAGTCTCTGCATTAACAATCCCACCCTGTCTCAGATATTTGCACCAGACTGTCGCTGATCAGCATCAACAGCATCAGCAAAGCAACATAACCTACACACACCCCCCTCCCACTTAATTCTACACCACTTTGTATGAAGTCCATCACCGAATTATAATCTAATAAACAGAAATAAAATGTTTACAAGGATAAAGGTGAAATGGCATCAGACGGGGCTTAAAAGCAAGAGATAAAGAAAATTAAAAAGTGGAAGAGAAGTAAAATAAAATCAGATATTATAATAATTAACGATCTTTAATAATTAAGGAGGAGATGTGAAGCAGTTCTAAAGAACAATTTAGGAATAACTCTGGACTTGTAATTTGTTCTTTTAAATTTAGAGAGACTAATTTCAGGCTGGAGGATGGAGGAGACGACGAGGCACAAATTAGAGAAAAGAGCAAAGCCCAAAGTGCTTTTTTGTGACTTAAGTGGGAGTGTGTAAAGTACGAATGTAGATGATGTATGACTCCTTCAGATAATGAAAAACAAAGCCTACACAGGATGCCCTATGGGTGCATGCCTCTTTTCTTTTCAAAGATACCTGATGAAGAAAGCACGCTAGTGTGATGAATGACAACAAAGATTACATGATGCTGCTGTTCACTGGGCTAAATACCAAAGTTCAATGAATTGCTTTACAAAAACATTTTCTACTGATAACAGATCAGCATGTAAGGAATGATATGTGATCACGTTACTTTGGACCTCTGACCTCTTCTTCATGGTCGAATTCGGTCATACTTTTTGACCATCATACCGCCAGCACTCACCTCTGGTCATCACGATCCCTGCCAGCACCTTGTGTCGGGCGTGCGAGGTAGAGGAACAGCTGTCTGCGAGCGCTGTGTATTTCTCTCTCACCAAGTGGAAGATTGACTCTGCAAAGAACTACAGAAGAAGAAAACGGAGGATACAAACTGAAAGTGTGTTTTTGTTGAAGATCACGAGATGCTTCATTATTCAGAGGATACTGTTGCCTGTTAGTCTTTGTTTTAAGCTTTAGGAATGTAACCATGTAATACACTGTTACAACGGAAGCACTAAAACCCTTTTTTTTATCTTTTAGTGACATAAAGTGGTCTACCTTGCTTGTCTTTCCTCTTTATCACTGGCTATTGGCCAGATTGTGACAACTCGCTAACTGTAGCACAAAGCAAATAAATGTGTTTGTTCAGGCAGCTGTTCTCCACATCTGTGCAAACACAGTGAAACTGTCCTCATCCCAGCATGACAAGAAAGGATACACCAGCCAGAGAGCACACACAGCAATGGATAACTTTGCATGCTGTGATTCATTATGTCAATGAACAGCTACAGTAAAACACTCAAGGGAAAACTCTGCCCTCTAGTGGCGAAAGTTTTAGTTTAGTTTTGCTTGTAAATACAAAAAGTACCTTTAGCTGATGAAGTGTTGCGCAGATGATCAAATAACTATGGGACTGTTAAAACTGTATTTTTTATTTTATATATAATGAATAAATGATTTGTGATTCATACATTTTTGCAGTATTTTTACCATTTTTGTTGATAAAACTTGTTCTATTCATCAAATACCCACAGATATTAACAGTTTTTAATGCTCCTTCACTTTGTCTGAAAAGTTGGCTGGGTAAACTTGTGTTAATGCCATATTCCCCAACACTACGAGCGCATGAGCTCGTCTGAAAATCCGACAGTTTGTCAGCGATGGCCGAGAGTTTTCTATCAATTAACTCCCCCAGTTTTCGAAGGAAGAGGTGTCACAATCCCAAAATATCTCTTATTGTTTGATATTTCAGGCCTGTCACTCTTTTGAGAGGCACCTGGAGGTTACAGTAAGGTAAAGGAACAGCATCAAAACAACAGGAGGTTTAAACTAAACAGCAGCCCTGCTCAATGTCCTTCTATTTACCGTCTGCTGAATATTTGCAGGATAAGAGACTGCCCAGCACATCAGTCTGTTCCCTCAGTTTGGGGACAGCAGATTAAATATTTGACTGTCTGAATTGAGCCTTGAAGTAACTGCTAATAATTCATATTATGGTAAATTCAGATGTGATTGGAGGTAAACTATACTTCCACTGACTGTCTGGACTTTAAAATATTTATTCTAGTCTGTTGTGGGAAGATTTGAATGTTGGATTTTACCAAAGGTGGAGTTTTTAGAAATATCACTAGGAAACAGTTTGTTACTTACACTCAGAATAATATTTTTTCTGTTGCAAGATTTACATTTGAAGATCCGATTTGTGTACTTTATTATGGAATTTATCAGAATGAGAATACTTTATTCATCCCACAGTAGGAATAGTAAATAACCAGTTAGCTAAAAAAAAACCCCAAAAACCTAACTTGTGTAAATTTCTCTGCTTTTTCAAAACAAACAAAAAAATCTATATTTATTGGATCAGATCTGGCTGAAGCTCACGATGACGTTCAGAGCTCAGAGAATAAACCTTTAAATAAAATCTTTTAATGGACAATCAAGCAACAATAAACTGAAAGAAAACAGCAGTCTGATAAAGTCAAGTGAAAGCTCTGCTGATAATGACCCACACTCCTCAGATCAGTCAGAGCAACGATAAGAGGATGAACTGAGCTGCTGAATCAAAGCCAGTGGATCATGCTAAGCTATGCTATTAGAAACTAAGGAGAAGTATTGGGGAACTGGAAAGGAGAAGAACAGGCCCCCTTTAAAAAGAAAGTGTCACACTTTAATGTCTTTTTTATATTTCTAACCATATAAACTTCCAGTAATGCTAACCCAGCATGTTCTCAACGACCACCTTTTAAAGGTTCAAACTATTCTGTGGTCCGAGCGAGCTTATTTTGAGTGAAACTCTCAAGCTCAACATTTTCTGGATGACAGCGGCACAAGGTCGTGTGTAATGAGTGTGTTAAACAATTATCTGTTGGATTATTATGCTCTTCACACCGCCTTCCTGCTCCACCTCTATCTCCTTGCTCCGCTGCCGCTCCTCCTTCATCCCTAATGTGCTGTAATAATGTTCATTAATGCGTCACGCCGTCTGACAGACAGCTCATATTGAAGCGAAGGAGGGAGGGCTGATGCTAAATGATGGGAAATAAAAATTCCACACAAAGAGGAGGAGGAGGAGGGAGGATTTGGCAAATTGTTCACTTATTGGTGTATCAGCATACAGCCATGTAAAAGTGCTTTTTGTTCAAAATCAAAGCATCTGAATCCCCTTTTTCACCCAAAATGTTGCCATTGCACCCACCCGTCAGTGGATCCTCTCATCAAACCTCCCTCAGGCTTCAATGAAGTATGTACATGTCTGTCTTTCTCCATTATCATTTGCATATTTCAACAACTGTGTAAAAGGGTTTATGCCCAGTCACTCCCTTCATCTCCCCGGAGTCGATCCGAGGAGACGAGTCGCCTTGTATTCATAAAACACGGCAGCACGACAGTAAAAGACGTCGGGGACAATTCTCCGCGGCTCTGAGACATAATGAAGCTGTTTAGATGCTGCAGAGGAGTGTGCAGGACACCATCCAGCTCTCAGGCCTCAGGACATGATGGCCATGCTGATGTGCAGCACACTCCATTTGGTAGCATACGGTGCACCTCACACCCATTTATCCAGACTGCTTCGAACAATGGCAAATGCTAAAGAGAAGAGGGAGAAATTCAGTGTCACGACTTGAAGCTGACAGTTTCAAAGTGAGGACCCACAGGATGTAAGAGGAGAACGATGTTGCAGTTTGTTAACGTTTAGTCACCTCAATATAAAAATGGTGGGCACAGAACAAACATCTGGGGGACAGCTTTGTTGTCTCTGACCATCTTCTAACTCCATCTTTGATGTGATGTTTTCCTTTTTCATGTCATGTGTGTTTCTGTCACTGTGGTTTTCCTCATTCAGGATCTCAGTTTAGAAGTTATGTTTAGTGATTTTAACAGGACTTTATGTTTTAAGGATTCGGGTTTTGTGCCTTGCTGGTTTGTTGGTATTTGGTTTCATGTGTTTTGGTTTTTCTTCCCACCCCAGTCGTCTCTTGTTGTCTTCATCCTCATGATTACATGGTTAGTCATTTGTCTCTTGTGCTTTTCCGTTGGGTTGACTTCCTTTGTTACTGTCTTAATTACTTTCAGCTGTGCCTTGTTACCCTGGTGTTTCCACTTCCCTCGTGTTTTCTCTTGCTTGTTGTAATGGGGAAAGTGAAACGTGTCACATCTTGGTACTGTTGTGAAACAAAGACACAAACAAGTGTTGCACAACTGTAAACAACACCAGATCAATACTGGTTTTATGTTATTATGATCAGGGTTGGAGAAATCTGCACACAGAGACGTAAGAACAGAGAAATTGCTGTTTATTGTATATGTGTTTTGTTTGCAGTCCCCCTTTTTCCGCCCTCGTTATCTGATTGGATTGACTCTCCTTTTGGATTCCCTAGAGGAGCTGCAGTTTTGGGCACATCTGCATTGGCTTCATTTTTCAGCTTTGGATGCTGCATCTTGATTTGCTCCCAGTTTTTGTCAGTTTATCTCTTTACCTTCAAAATCCTGTGTTTTCTTTAAAAAATAATAATTTCAGTTACTATTCAGTTATTATTTTCATGCCAGTCTGCTTCAGTTTTTATCTGCATTTGTGTCTAATCAACAAAGATCACCGGAAAGGTGAGAAAAAGGCAGATTTAGAGAGTGTGATGTCTTTGTATTTTCAACATTTTACATTATTTTATTATTCGGAATGACAGGTGATATAAAGGTAAGGGCTAGGGGGGCCTTAGCCAATGCCACATGGTGGGAAAAGAGATGCGACCAATGCGTTTGCAACAACACCTGAACATCTATTGCCTTTAACACTGAATGAAATCAGATATCATCATGGGCACATATGAGGTGCTGTATGTATGTATGGGATATGTAATATTATATAAAAACTCCAATGAGAAGACTACATAACCGGTTATGAGCAGTCATGCATGGGACAGAAAGATGTAAATTCATGTATATTGTGATAGCCACAGTGCTCATGTTTGCCTATTGGAGTCTTTTTTAACTTTTACCTGGTCATTTTGCATCTCTTTGCATTTTTATTGCTGTTTAAATGGTAAATGGTAAGTATAGCGCTTTACTAGTCCCTAAGGACCCCAAAGCGCTTTACACATCCAGTCATCCACACATTCACACACTGGTGATGGTAAGCTACATTGTAGCCACAGCCACCCACTGATTGATGACTGACTGACTTTTAGCTGGGGCTCGGGTCCACGTGCTCCCCTATCCTTTTTGGGTCTGCTCAGGTAGGTGACTCGAAGCTCAATACAGTTTTTCATCCATGTAAGCAGGACATGTTTTCGAAAATCAACTCATTAAAATTTGTTTATTTACTCATTACAGATGACCTGAGTGAAACTATTCCCCCACTTCTTTCCATATACAACTCCTTTTTTATTCCTGCACTTATAAAAGGAGAGTAGAGGTAAAATACTCACCTGAGGTAGCTGATTTTTGGCCCTGCTGTCCTGCAGGCCCATGAAGGTCCTCTCTGGTCCCAGACTTATGTTGTAAAGAGACTGTAGGGCAGTTGCTGCTGCTCTGGCCTTGGCCAGTCTTTTACTGGGGGCACACCCTTCAAACACCCGCCCCTCCAACCTGACCACCATAACAAAAGTCTTCATCGGCCTGCCAGGAACTCTCTCAGTCAGGCACATGTACCTGAGCCCCGGTCGCAGCTCATTGAGCAGTGCTACTGGACTGAGGTCCTCTAACAGTGAGGTGGTGACTGCTCGTCTTTTTGGATTTGTAGAGGACACCAAGTCCAGTGTTAGACGAACAAGTCTTCTGTGGTTGTAAATGCTGGAGAAGACCTCCTTTTTTGCTGCGTTGCAGTGGAGTAGATCACAGTTCCGAAGCACCGACGGCTCAAACTCTTTGAAAAATCCGTTGGGAATATCCACTTTATCTGCTGTGAAGTCCACAGGTGTGCTGGTGAAGTTCCCCATGGTGGCATGAGCCTGGGAGGCGTTTGGGAACTGAATGAATGACTGGAGAGCCTGCTCTGCAGCCCTCATCTTGGCCTGTTTTTTAGTTGGTCCTCGGCCCTCGAAGTGGAAGCCGTTTACCTCCACGGCTACAGAAAACACCGGTGCGTGCAGCGGGCCAGTCTTTGATGTGATATCATACTGCAGGCCTGGTCGTAGCTCATTCAGGTGCACCAGTGCGTTCTTCTGAGTCACACCCCAAGCTGCTCTTTTACAGGTCGAGTGGCTTTGGTAGAGCAGCTGGTCTTTTCCGTCCACCAGCGGCTGCTTCCTCTTCAAAGCTCTTTGTCCATTTCTGGGGAAAGTTGTGCAAAAAGTTGATGGGTGATACTTTCTAAGGAGGTCACGCTCCACCTGGCATTTGTCATCCTGATTCTCCTTCACCTCCAAACTGCTGGTACCTGTTTACGAGATCAAAGTGTTCGCAGTGAGAAATCCTGTCCTGCTTTATTGTACATGAAAATCATCAGCATTCTCGCACAGCCGCATGATTAAAACATTTTAACTGGACTCTAAAACTAAGCCAAGTAAACCCTATGATTCAAAAGCTCATAGGACCAACTTTTGAGGGAATAACTTGTTTTCTGAGACTTCATCAGTCTCTCACATCGATGTTGAGGTGATTTGGTCAACTCTTCTTTAAAGCGTTGCATCAGTTCATTGAGGTTTTTGGACATTCATTAATGCACAGCTCTTTTAAGGTCCCGTGACAACCTTTCAGTCAGGTTGAGGACTTTGACTCGGCCATTGCAACACAATGATTCTTTTATTTTTCAGCTTGTATCCCAAATCATCCCTCCTTCGCCACTTGTTGTTTGTGCTGATATAGTTTTTGTGGTTCATGCCAAATCCGGAACTCAAACATCTCCACTTTGGTTTCATCTGTCCATGGAAAGGACAGTTAATGCCAAATACGCTAATATTTACCAGGCGTAAGATTTTTTTTTTTTAGCTACCTAGTTACCATTTTAGTTTAGTTTGTTAGCATGCTAACATTTCCAATAAAGTCTAAACAGAGACTAAATCTGAAGTGCACACATCCATTGTGTCTCCATGTACTTAAGTCATGGGTGTACTTAAACCATTCAGGTACATAAAGAGTTTGTGTCAGCAAATGATTGTTGTGCAATCATCTGTGTAAAGCCAGAGTTTGTACTTTACGTCTTCTGTCATGTTTATATTGTTATATTTCTGAAAGCTCACATTAAACATGGCCACATTTTTTTTATGACTAAGCTTTTAATAAAGGCTTTACTTTTTTTTTCAGAACAAAAAAAAGGGAAAACAACAACAACAAAAAAAGCCCAACAACAACAAAACAAGCAGTCGACTGAAAATCACAGCTTTTTCTACAAAGCTGTTCTGGCAGTGAAAACATAACATTGTATTCATGAATTGACAACACGTCTACAGATGTATGAGCACCCTAGGAGAGGCATACAGAAGTGTATATAGTGAGGAGGCACAAACAGAAAAAAAAGGAACCCATACTAATTTTGGACAGATTTCAACCACTTGTACCATCTTGTAGTATAAGTTAGGGCTGGGCTATATCATACCGTTCACGGTAATACCGGTGTAATTTTGGGCAACGATAAGAAAATGAAATATCGCGATAGAATATGGGTAAAACGCGCGTGCGCAGTGCCTTTGTTTACATACGCACATGGCGGCGACGGAGAATGAGAAGAGCGAAAGCGGATTGTTGAATGAAACAGATGAAGCAGAATTGGTTTGTAAAAATGCTGCAACTTCAGTGGTGGGGAACTGGTTTAGCTTTCATCCGTCAGATACACAACAAAGCACTATTTTTGGTAGAGCATGCTAGCGGGCCGTCGTTATTACCGTGTTTTTTGGAAAATACGGCACACTTAAAATCAATCCTTTGATTTTTCTGAAAGTCGACAGTGCACCTTATAATCCCGTGTGCCTTATGTATGAATTCTGGTGGTGTTTACTGACCTCGAAACGATCTTATGTGCTACACGGCGCCCGAAAATCTGTTGCACCGCTTGATGGATTGTCGGAGCATTACGGCTATCGTAGGCAGGAGCCTCGGGGAGTGATATGTACTGCGCTTCAACATAATATTACCATATTGTGTGTGTATAACCTTTTTTTAAGTTTTGTGGATATTATACATGGTTATGCTGAGGATATGTCGGCCAGTTTCCACTGGAAATGCCTTTTGGTTAAACTGTCAGCGAGGAATTTGCATTTGCACTGTTAATTTTTTATATAACTTTAATGCACTTAAAAAAGCTGCTTGTGTAAGTGAAAATACAATGATTTTTTGGGGGTTTTTTTTTGCACTAATAAAGTTGTGGAGTTGTAAAGTATTTTGTCTAGTGTCAATTATATCGTCAGTTATATCGTTATCGCAAATTTTCGAATGTATATCGTGATAAATATTTTTGGTCATATCACCCTGCTCTAGTATAAGTATTAGCTTGCAACCTTAACAAAAAGGTAAGTTTTTCCATTTTATGAATGTCCTCAACAACCTTCAACCAGTCGCCCAGAACAGGGGGTCAGTACAGAGCCACTTACCAGTACTTGCTTTTTTTGCAGCAGCAGTAAGAATCTTCAGGAGATATTTGTCATTGCTTGTTCATTCTTTGGGTAAGTCTCCTAAATAAAATGTTATGACGGACCGTTGTTTTGATTTAAAGCCTATAGTCTGTTCTATCTTTGATATAACATCTTCCCAAAATGTAGAAAGTTTTCGAAACAACCAGAATATGTGGGTGTGGTTTGCAGCAATTTCCCCACAGCTCGTCCAGCAAAAGGAACTTCCACCTATTTGTTGTTTTGGCATCATGAAAAATCGTACCAACTAAATTCTTGCCAGTAGGCAGAGGATGAGGTTGAAGTGGCAGTCTCACACATATTGTCCCATTGGCCAAAGTTTTTAAATAATAAACCCGGCATACATACAGACGTCCCTGTGAGCTCAGGCTTCACACTACACACTGAGATTCAGACATTATGTTACTCCTGGTTCTTCATGATGCCAACATGAGAGCATATATTTCTACAGGCATCTCTGGAAACACAGCTCTCAACTCTCTCCTATCTGCTGTTCAGATCTTGTGGTTATGAGGGGCAGCCAATCAACATAAAACCAGCTTAGACAGAAGATGAACTGAGGGGCCCAGCGAGAAAGTACAAATAATTATTAATTTGTATTGTTAATTCAAAGCTATTCTATTAGAGACGAAGGAAATGGAGATGTGGCAATGGGCATATTAGGTCCCTTTAAATTATTATAATTCATACTGACCGTACTATATTTGTTGCACTCACAGTAATGGCTGCTGAGGCACAAAATTATTTTTTGGCAGGAAAAGAGTCACTGGGATTCCTGTGACTGTAGGTAATGGTTGCACTGGCCTACTTTGGATGAGCATTTGTGCTAAAAAGTCAGTGCAACGGAATGATTCGTCCATCCAACAAAGTCTGCAAACATTTTAATATCAGAACATTTCATAAAGAGAAATTTGGAACAATGCATTTGTTTAATGACCGACAGGCTTATGCTGCAGTCCATGAAGCCAGCATGCTGCTAACATGGCTGAGAGTGTAATGTAGGCTGATACAACATCTGTGTTTGTAAAATAGCCACATAAACTGCCTGCAGTTCAAATGTTAGATATGTACCACATTGAAATAATGGATGTAGAGCAAGTTGTGTGCAGTAAGAGGAGGGACGGCATTTACTTGAACTGTCTGCATCCTCAGCTGATGATGCTTCAGTATCCCAGTGTTTTATGGGGCTTATGAAGGTTGACGGCGTGCTGCTGCATCCTGAAAAACACAATGAAAAAGACTTGAGGTCATTTTCATCTTATATAAATTTTCATCTAAATGGAAATATACAGTGTGTCCTCTGACATTTTGTGTTTGTGAAGCGAGTCAGTGTTGTGATTCTGAATGATTCTGATGCTTAGTTTTATATTCGGCCTGAACTGCAGAAGAAATTAAATGGACTGAGGTAAACACATAGACGGTGATAGTGAAAATCTGCTGCAGGAAGCCATGAACGCCATTAGAGTTCCCACTGAATGAAAACAAACAGAAAGGTGGCTCAGAGCCAGCCGGGGTAATTGAAAGGTGTCTGTGATAAGGACGGAGGCTTTCACACAAGAAGCATCATGGGCTTTAAACTAAATGAACAGCTTTGTATTATTAACCCAGTCACAGAGATTTTAAACTGAGCACAAAATCTTTTCCAAAGGCTGGCGAGTGGCTCAAAGTGTGATCGACTGACAGGCTGCCCACGTGTGTCCAGGTTTTACCCAGCCTCTACCCTACGACAGTTTTCCAAATTAATTATATTAATACGTAAAAATGAATAAGATTACGGCAAGCATATTCACCCACATCCTTTCTTACTTATAAGGGTATATTGAAAGTAACATTTCCTGGAAATCACTTACTTTTTTCAAGATGATTTGAAAATAAAGAAACTAGTAAGAAAAAGGTGATAAAAAAATTACGGTGGCCCTTAGAGGACAAATGGACTGCAATTTAAGAAAACGCCAACAATAAGAAAAATCACACAAAACACAACGGAAATAGGAAAAATGACAACGGAAATAGGAAAAAACACAAGGGAAGTGTTTCTGGTCAGACAATAACCCGACGGACCAGTTGCAGGCACCCAAAACATGGTAGGCGTGTTTTATCATGATTCATATAATACTGATGACAGATTTTTAGGCAAATAGTTAGGCTAAAACACGAGAAACCCCCCCCAAAATATAAATATTTCTGCTGGTGGTGGCCACCGAACATTGCTCTCTCCCTTTTCCTCCTGAAGGTTTTTCGGCTGTTTTTATTTTTGCTTCTGTCCTTGTCCTTGCTGGTAGTATGGGACAATATTATCAAGAAACCAACCACAGGAATGAAGCTTTTCCCAAAAATGTGATTCTGTTAATCTGGACGTAATGTTTTCAGAAATGTTTCAATACACATCCAAGCGACTTCTTCGGTCACCTCACAAACAACGGACCTCACAGCCCATTGTTCATTCAGTGGGCTCGTTTCAGTCATTATGCAAATGTGCTGTTTATAAGGTCGAGAAACCTGCAGTCAGCTGAGACTGAAGAAGGCTTAACTTAAAAAGCTTAATTTCTTTGCATGCATAAAGAAATTAAGCTTTCTAATCCAAACCTGGTAATTTTATGTGATCTGAAACTTAAACAGCTTAAATAAAACTGACAGCACAAAAATTTCTGCTGTATGGATTTCCAACTGTAGTGTCAGCTGCCACCTCCTTCCTCATACGCAGACTTTATCACCTGCAGACTGTGCAGACAATTAACTGCTTTAAGACTGAGGGTCAAAATCACCAGCACACCCAGTCTCTCTGTTATTTTGCAAAAACCCCATGGTATCATTGAGCCGCTGTGAGCAGGGTTTGAACCTGCGCAGGGAGACCCTATTGGATTTCAAGTCCAACGCCTTAACCACTCGGCCATCACAGCTGCAAAGTGTAGTGGAAAGTGTGCAGACTTACCATATACACTTAAGGAAAACTGGCACAAATGTCTAGTTTGAGAAGGATGATGGTCCTGTGCTATCTGGGAGATGGTGAAAAAGTTATATATCATTATATACATATATGTGGGGATGTAACAGCGGTGCAGTCGTGACCACTGTTGCCTCACATGAAGAAGATTCACATGCGCTCCCTGTGTCTGTGTGGTTCTTCTCTTCAGGTGCTCTGGGTTCCTCCCACAGTCCAGACATGCTTGTTAGTTGAAATGGTGATTCTAAATTAGGTGTGAAAATCAGTGTGAATGCTTCTCTCTCTCTCTGTGTTAGTCCTGTGACAGACTGCTGACCTGTCCAGTGTGTACCTCACCTGTTGCCCCATGACAGCTGGGATAGGCTCCTGTGACCCTAATTTGGATAAGTGGAAGAAAACGGATGGATGGATAGTAAATGAGCACTTTTCCCCGTGAACCTTTTTTTTTTTTCTTTGTCAATCTTATAATCTGTACTGCTGGTGGATATAATGATATTTCTGCTTTTAGTGGCTATTATCGCTCATGGTAACTTATATCTACAATATCCCTCACACACATGCCATTTGGGGGAGTCTTCAGTAACTGCAGTTATTAATCGTTTCCAAAATGGTATAGCTATACCCCGTCAGCATGTGGAGTTTAATTCTTAAACTTATTGTGTTTTCCCTTCGTTTATGTCCATCCATCCTCTTCTCCTTACACACACACACATATATATATATATATATATATATATATATATATATATATATATATATATATATATATATATATATATGTGTGTGTGTTACATGTTATTACTTATTTTCATGTGTTTCATTGGCCACAGTAACGGCTCATTTTTTCTTTGATTCAGTTTTCCCTCCTGTGCTTTTGGGTCCACAACACACCGGCATCGGCCGTAACAAGTTGTTTTTGGGGCTTGGTACCCAATTTTGGAGAGTGGGGATGCCTGACAGGAGCTTGTGGTACTGAGGCAGGTTACTGGCAGATTCCAACATGGATTTTAAAATGCACAATCCTCTGTAAAGCTCTCACACCTTACTTTCTATATGCAGCCCTTTCCTCTCTACTCCATCTCCACTACAACTTCCACTTGTTTTGTTTTTGGAGTTTGGCTTCAGGAAAAAAACCCACCATAATAGATCACCTGCTGATCCCTGTTGGTCCCCAAACCAGTGACCCCATTTATTCCCATTTATCTGATGCACAAGTACCATTTGAGAGTTTTTATTTTGTAGCATTTCTTGTTAGAATACATTCACATAAACACTGAAATATGAGCAGCAGCAGCAATTATACTGTTCATAAGCTATTAATGAATTCCTGTTAAACTATAACTATTATGGATCAACATTAAACTAGTCTGCAGTTTTATTACATGCCATTTTTCACTTTTAAGGCTTCCTGAAATGAAAAATTATTTTTTAAAAACCAATATTATGAGCTGAACATGGCTGCAAATTACAGAGAATCATATGAAATTAGTTGTGCTCCATGCAAGTAAAAGTGGTGTCAATTTCACCATTAAACTGAGATATTTCTTTTGAGAACAAAGTAATATTAAAGAAGCTAGAGTCAGATTAAATATGCAACTTTTCTGACTTCTTTGTGGGTAATTTTACTGCTTATTTTCCTAATTTTTACCCCAAGTGACTGCTGATTCTGGATGGCACTGCAAAGCAAACTAAAAGTCATTAGAATAATGAAGAGTGCACACTAAACTATTGTGCATTAACCCTCCACCTTTCAGTTATATTAGGCGTGTGATGCCATTAAGTGGTGGGATGATATGAATGAGAGCCGTGAGATGGGATGTGAACGTAATGATGTGAGTCCTGTGCTTCTGAAGGCAGGTGGAGGCTGGAGGTGTTTTAATGACCTGCATCATCACAGCTAATGGGACCATTTATTTTCAGACAAAAAAAGAAGTTAATAACTGTTTTTCTTTGCGTCGTATCTACTGAGCTCTCGCGTCTTCCCACACTTGCTGCCATTTTCACGTTTTTCATCATCTTTCACTTGACATCCTCTGATATAGACACAAAAACACACCCTCGCTAGTCCACAAAGCCCTTCATTAACTCACACCCATTTGTGAATGAAATAGTAGACTTTCCACTTGATTTAAATAGAGGTTATCCAAGTTGCAATGTGACAAACTGTCTGCTTAATCTACCTCTAAAGTTTTACATGAACAGATCTATACGATGGTGTTGTGCAGCTTGAGCTTTGCAAAACAGGTGAGCAGATTTTAGAGAGCATGTGCATGTAGCAAAGAACAAATTGGTGAATAACTGGAGGGGATTGGTGCTGGGTAGGGGTGCACGGAAGTCTTTGTCATCCAACTTAATTATGTCAAAAAAGTGTTTGCAGTACAAACTATGATTTTTTTACATGAAGACAAAGGAGCAGTCATACCAAAGTGATAAAAAAGTGATAATGCACTTGAGCAGCAACAATAAGACAACCCCACAGTTCTTCTCGTGGCCGCCTGAGGCTGGATCCAAAGGAGAGTCAGTCGCTATAGATTGTACAAAAGTGCACAAAACATTCCTTAGTGTATATATCATTGTATACCGGTATGCAGATGTGTTGAGGTCGACCTATCAAATATTGGGGCCGCACATCACCGGTGTTATAATCCAGCTGATTTCTGTACCTCGCTTTAGCCTCTCAGCCACCACAGGTTTTTCTGTCCTTGCATTCTTTGAGGTAAATTCATCAGTGGGTGCAGAAAGTGCAAAAGAAAATACTGATGTTAGTCGTTCAGATGATTGCTGCCTGCACGCAAAAGGCCATAATGTTCTGGAAGATGCAGAACAGCAGAGGGAAAAAAAGAGAGAGAGCAGTATTGCACACTGCTTGTGTTTATCAAAGCTTAAGAAGGGAAGTTTCTCCATTCAGCCGGTGTTAATGAACCTTATTTAATAGAATAATGAAATTAGGCATGGCAGGGGGGAAGCAAGAAGCACCCGCTCACTGTCCGGTTTGTGTGTGTGGGCTGACAGCTGTGGATAATCTCATTTGCTAAGCATAATTAATGGCAAGTGGTTTCATTTACTTGTAATGTGGACTGTCTTTTCTCAAGGGCAAAGAAATATGAAAACTTTTTGGATTAATTTTCCTATCGACTGACTCGGTATAAGGAAGGAAATTTGTAAGAGTAGATTTTTTTCTTATTTTATTAAAGCTCCTGCTCCTTTCTTACTTTTATACTTTATTGTCTTTAATGAGCCTCAGTACAAATATAAAAGAGGAAAAAAGGCTGGT